GGCACCACTCGGCTCCACAAACTGTAGATTTTGGTGGTATTACTGTACTTTAGAGGCACCTACTCGGCACTACTCGGCTCCACAAACTGTAGATTTTGGTGGTATTACTGTAGATTAGTACATTAATTTATAATGTCTGCCTGACCCCTTCTCGGCCCCACTCGGCACTACTCGGCACCACTCGGCACTACTCGGCACTACTCGGCTCCACAAACTGTAGATTTTGGTGGTATTACTGTATATTAGTACAGTAATTTAAAGGCACCCCAATGTCTGCCTGACCCCTTCCCGGCCCCATTCGGCACTACTGGGCACTACTCGGCTCACAAACTGTAGATGTTGGTGGTATTACTGTATATTAGTACAGTAATGTAAAACTCGGCACTACTCGGTTCCATAAACTGTGGATTTTGGTGGTATTACTGTACTTTAGAGGCACCTACTCGGCACTACTCGGCTCCACAAACTGTAGATTTTGGTGGTATTACTGTAGATTAGTACAGTTATTTAAAGGCACCCCAATGTCTGCCTGACCCCTTCCCGGCCCCACTCGGCACTACTCGGCACCACTCGACACTACTCGGCACTACTCGGCTCCACAAACTGTAGATTTTGGTGGTATTACTGTATATTAGTAAGTAATTTAAAGGCACCCCAATGTCTGCCTGACCTCTTCCCGGCCCCGCACCCCAATGTCTGCCTGACCCCTTCCCGGCCCCACTCGGCACTACTCGGCACCACTCGGCACTACTCGGCACTACTCGGCTCCACAAACTGTAGATTTTGGTGGTATTACTGTATATTAGTACAGTAATTTAAAGGCACCCCAATGTCTGCCTGACCCCTTCCCGGCCCCATTCGGCACTACTGGGCACTACTCGGCTCACAAACTGTAGATGTTGGTGGTATTACTGTATATTAGTACAGTAATGTAAAACTCGGCACTACTCGGTTCCATAAACTGTAGATTTTGGTGGTATTACTGTACTTTAGAGGCACCTACTCGGCACTACTCGGCTCCACAAACTGTAGATTTAGGTGGTATTACTGTATGTAGATTAGTACAGTAATTTAAAGGCACCCCAATGTCTGCCTGACCCCTTCCCGGCCCCACTCGGCACTACTCGGCACCACTCGGCACTACTCGGCACTACTCGGCTCCACAAACTGTAGATTTTGGTGGTATTACTGTATATTAGTACAGTACTTTAAAGGCAGCCCAATGTCTGCCTGACCCCTTCCCGGCCCCACTCGGCACTACGCGGCGCTACTCGGCACTACTCGGCACTACTCGGCTCCACTAACTGTAGATTTTGGTGGTATTACTGTACTTTAGAGGCACCTACTTGGCACTACTCGGCTCCACAAACTGTAGATTTTGGTGGTATTACTGTATATTAGTATAGGAATTTAAAGGCACCCCAATGTATGCCCGACCCCTTCCCGGCTCCACTCGGCACTACTCGGCACTAGTCGGCACTACTCGGCACTACTCGGCTCCACAGACTGTAGAGTGGGACTGCCCTCAGCTGTGTCTGGGTTGCTTGCCAGCTACATGTTCGCGGTGTCCATCGCTGCGTGAAATTACCGACATCGCTGTCTGGTTCGTTTGCTCTTGCGTTTTTGTTGTCTCGCGCGTTTCAAGACTACACCCTTTGTCACGTGCCTGCTGGGTGGCCGCCCCTGTGCTCGACCATTAACATTTCCGGCGGCGGTCTTGACGAGAATTTTGCCATCTGTAACTGGGAACCGGTGCGGACATCCTTGCTTGCGGCCATCGACGTGTCCATGTGTGATGCTGGACTTGATCCTTTTCCGACAGTGTGGACACGTGTACGTGTGCCGCTCAGCTGCACTTGGAATGACTTTACCATTTTTCACTGTGAATTGGTGTATGCAGCCCTGCTTGCGGCCGTCGACGCGTCCATTCGTCACGCTGGATTTGACTGTCTTCTGACAGTGTGGGCAGCAGTATGTGTGTTGTGAACCGTCGCCTGAGAGCACCTTTCCATCTTTCACCGTGAATCGGTGTGTGCACCCCTGCTTGCGGCCGTCGACGCGTCCATTCGTGACGCTGGATTGGACTGTCTTCTGACAATGCGGACAGGAGTATGTGTGCTGTGCACTGTCGTCTGCGACGGCTTTACCATCCTTCACCGTGAACTGGTGTATGCATCCCTGCTTGCGGCCATCCACGCGTCCATTCGTCGTGCTGGATTTGACTACTGTCTTGCAGTGCGGACAGGTGTACGTGTGCGGACCACTTTCGCTTGCAACGACTTTACCATCTTTCACACTGAATCGGTGTATGCACCCTTGTTTGCGGCCATCAACACTTCCAGTTGTTATGCTGGACTTGATCGTCTTTCGACAGTGCGGGCACGTGTACGTGTGCCATTCGCTTGCATTTGAAATGAGTTTACCATCTTTCACCGTGAACTGGTGACCGCACGGTTGCCACGTTTCTTCTGTTCTCCCTTGTGATTTTTTTCGTGTATCTACACAGCCGTCTCGTATGTTTGACTTCACTGTGGCATGGCATTGCGGGCATTGGTACGTGAACAAATAGGACTCGCTGTCGTGACTCGATTGGCTTGCACAAGCGGCGCACTGGTTGCTAGTGTCCTGTTCTGTGTCTTTTCCATACACAGTACCGCAGCGCTTGCACACTTTTCCATTTCCTTTTTTCTTGCGTTTCGCGATCTCATCCCAGCATGCAGCAAGTGCTTCTTGTGCTTTGCGCTTTCTCTGTTTTGCTTGTGCTTTCTTCCGCCATTTATTTGCGGTAACACGAAGACTGCGCGATTGTTGGCAGTGTCTGCATGCATTGCAGATTCTGTCTCTGCTCTGCTTCCAAGCATTCGCGGTGAAGCATCTTGACGGCAGCCAGACACTACAAGTGCCGCATTGTCGTTTGTCCATGCACACGTTGCATGTTCGCGACCAGGTTTGGAAATTGCCCATGGTCGCGGGAAAGCACTCTGTCGCTCGCCACTGCAGGCAACGACTGCATCGCGTCGGTGTTCCGCGCTCTCGGTATGTTCGTGTGCATTCTTTGCAAACTGCCAGCGATTCGGGCAGCTTCTTTTGTGCTTCGGTGAAATCGCTCATTCTTCGCGCGGCTTTGCATTCACTGCATGTTTTTACTTTGCAGTAGGTAGCTAAGATGCCTGGCCAATCCAGGTCTTCGCCACGCAGATGTCGTAAGAGGTAGTCTCGAAAACTGGTGTCGCCCCGTTGGAACGGTTCTGCTGGGAAAGGCCGCATTATGAGAAGATCCGTGCGATGTTTGACGCGTGTCACAGCGATGTAAGCTGTCAATGGGTTGCTCTGTGCGTCAAGCACTAAATCAGCGATGACTCCTTCTTCTAGAGTTTGTCCTTGAGCTTGATGTGCAGTCATGGCGAAAGCTGGAAGGAGAGGCAGTTGTTTTCGCGAGACCTTCAGCATGGGTTTTTTCGATTTACGCTTTTGGTCTAGAAACCACGTGCGGCTGGAAGGTGTGATTGGGTAGACTCCGGGCTTGAGTCCTTTGAATTGCCACCGCCCCCTGGGAAATTTAACATAGACCACTTCTGGTAGTTCATTCCAGACAGTGACGTTCTTGTTGATCTTTTCATGCTGCTCACCGTTGTGTTTCCAGCTTACCACATGTCCGCGGCGGCCCTTAAGCAGCAGGCGTTTGCGGTTGACGTGTTCTGTCAAATAGACAGGCATATCTTTGCACAGCGGCAGGATGCCGCACAAATCGCCGCATTCCCGATCGTGGCGTTGCAGCCACTTCAATTTCTCTGTTGCTAGCTCAGGTTTCTCGTGCAGAACGGCTGCGCACGCTTTGTCTTGTGCAATGACGTAGTGTAGTTGCCTCTTTCTTCCTGCAGCATAGGCTTCTGCGCGCACTTTGAGTGTATGGCTTTTGCGGACGTTGGTCGGGAAAATGGCAGCTGCCGCCGCAAACTGTTGGTGGAATTGCACAGCTGCCGGGCTTGACGCAACGAGCCGACGCGCCTGCCTTTCTCGTCGGCAGTGGGCGCATTCTTCACGCAAGATGCGCTGCGCAGGAACTCCGAGAGATTGGCAGGCATCGTTGCCGCATGTAACGCGGTTGTTCAACCAGCTTCCCGGTACTGTAGTCGCTGCGCCGTGTAAGAATGCGTGATTGTTTGTGCTTAGATTCGAATAGCGCAGTTGCTCTTGTAACTCTTGCAACCATGCGTCTTGGTTGCGTTCTACTTGAATGAGCTCTGTCATGCCCTGGAAGCCGACGTCCTTACCGCCCCACATCATTTCTTGACCGTGCGCTACGGCTGGTTTGTTTCGTGCATACCTGCTGTTCAGCCATTCGTGTGGGACACCTGCCAAAAAGTGGCCGTCTGGAGGTTCTAGCTGCCACAGATCACCGAGCACGATCACGTTCAAACCTCCAAATGGTTTGCTTTGTGCGTCAGCGACAGATCGCCGGAAACTGCTGCTGTTGCGCAGCAGGGTTCGGCAGGCACGTTCTACGGCAGCTAGTAGTTCGCAACTAACCATACTAATTTCGTCGATGATGAGCCAGCGCAGCTGAAGCAGTTGCTTTTGCAGTAACAAAATTTTCGATTCGTTGCTCGTCGTCTTGCTTGTATCTCCGAATTTAAGACCGAAGACGTGGTGTAGTGTGTCTCCGTCTAGCATGTCTGCAGTGACAGCTTGCAGCGCTGCACACTGGAAGTGGATCCCCGGTTCCCACTGCAGTAAATCTTGGAACAGTTCGTCGCGCAGGATCTTGATGGCATGAGTTTTTCCTGTTCCGGGACCTCCGTGCAGTACCCAGCGCAGTGGCTCGTCGTCGGCTGCACTGCATTCTCCGTACGCCTGTCTTGTCTGCATCTCTTGCACAACCCGATCTGCGACGCGCTTAATAAAAGCATGTTGTTCGTCGTTGCACACACGGCGTCCATTCTCGTCGCGGCGTGTCCGCAGTTTAGTCAACCAGTCCTTAATTGCAGTTTTAGTCTTTTCTACGCGCCCTGGCTCAATTTCTGCAGCCGCTTCCGTCTGCAAAGTTCCTGGTTCCTGTTGTCCTTGCCGTCGGTCACGGTTGGCTTCGGCTACAACAGCGTGGGTGTTGACGGCCGTTTCTTCTGGCAAACACTCTGTTTCGACATTGGCGTCACACGCGCTGGCCTGCCACACGGCTTCTATGTCGTCATATTCGTTCGCTCCTCCTTGCCGTGTTTCTCGGGTCCGCAGGCATGCGTCGATGTTTGCAGCGTGGACATGCGCACGTGTGTCGTCTTCGCATTCATTGTCGCTATTTTCTACGTCGGCAGCTAAGGAACGCACGCGGTACACAGAAAGAAAATTGCTGACGTGTTTCTTAGTTTCCCTGCATGCAACCCCCTGAAGCCATGTGCGGAAGGTGACTTCCCATGAGGTGTGCTCTTCACGAAAGTCCTGGATGCTGCGAACATCTCTATCTGCGCATGCCGGCAGTCCAGTCCATGGCCGGAAGTACACCAGACACATGAAGGAGTTATTTTCTTGTTCGTCTTGCTGATAGCGGGGTGTAGGGCAATGGGCAAATGTGGGACAACGGGGTCTGCGTCGCCGCCGCAGTAACCACGCGGAGCGAATTCGTGCATTTTCGGTTCGATCGTCAAATGCAACATATCCCGAAGGAAGGCTGTCTCGCAGCCGTGTATCCACGCCCGGAATGAATCTGACGCTCTTGTTGGAGACTTCTGCTGCTACGAGTTTCGTCTCGCCTTTTTTTGTCAAAACGACATCCCATGCATCCTGCCGACGGTCTTGCCATTCCTTCAGATTCCGCGGTGTTCTTGTCGGAATAACTTCCCAATAGAGCAGAAACTCGTATGCAGAGAGGTACCAGCATGGACTGGCACGAGGTCGCCGTGCGTAGAACTCGGCGATGTCGTGCTCAGTGACTTGTCTTTGTTTGAGTGCGGGACGCTTTTTACCCAGTGTAGTGGCAGTAATCCTGTGGTCTCTGGCTGTCATAGCGTTGGCCGCTAATTCTGCGTGCCGCAAGAAGTCATGACCTGGAAAGGAGACATATTGTGTTGTCGTAATACGTTCTGCTGAAGCTGCGTCCTCCGTCGCATAGCAACGCAAATTAGAGCATTCTGCGTGGCCACGTACGATTCCTTTGCAGTATGCGTCTGACATGAAACGTGTCATGTGTCGCTTTCCCTGATACGCCAACCCCTTTGCTTTCGTTTGCTCTGCCACGGCTGCATGACTCTTCTGCAATTCCTTGAGCTCTAGAAACGCCATTGGTTGAGTTTTCGCGCAGTAATCGCAACTGTAACCTGTTTGTGCGTCCTGGGCACGTTGCGCCGCAAACAAAACCATTTTCTGCAGGCTTCTCCCCTCACAGGCTTCTTGACAGTTCTCGCAAGCAAAAGGCAAACGGTACGGTAATTGCACGTCGGAATTACACCGCGCCCCACTCAGCAGTGCCGGATGCGTTGGGTTGACGTATTCCTCGTCGCGAGGTCCGTGCAGCATGCACAAACAGTTCTTGCGTCCGCTGTCCGGTAAGTCGAAGGCTTTTAAGGCACAGGGGCACAAGATACAAGCTTCCGCGGACATTTCCTGTGTTTTTGGATATCCGTGTTTGCATATCGGACACCCATCTGCCTTCAGACAGCCAGGCTGCGGCCTCCGCATTCCTGTCTCTGGGTTGACACAATGGACATGATTTTGTTTTAATGTTTGCAAAGAAAAGACATCATCCTCCAGATAAGCTTGACTCCATCGTGCCTCTTCGTCCTCACGACAATCGGCTACTAGCACACCTCGTTGGTACGCTGGACGACTAATCAGATTTGTGACGCTGATATACTCGGGCCATTGTTGCTCTGCATGCCGCAAAGCTTCTTCTGTCTCTTTCGGGCTTTTGTCGTAGATGCTACGGCGTACATGTATTTCGTATCGGAGATAGTCTGCTCGAAGGAGGGCAAGACGGTCTTTCGCCAGACTGAAGATATCTGCGAGATTCTCGTGCTGGTGCAAGCACTGAACAAATAATTGAATGTGCCCATGAGGCGAGCCGCTCGATTTCTGAAATTCGATGGCTACGTAAGCGGCATCGCAGCGCCCAAAAATACCCCCCGTGCATGTTGCATTGCTGCCTTGCCAGTCTTGGCATGGCATACTGCCACAGTTACAAGAGGGGCACTGCAGGCAGACGTTCATGCCAAAAAGATGTTTCATGACCAGAAAGAGCGTGACGCGGAAACCGTGGACTGTTGCCAGGGGATCGCGTGCTAAGATTCGGCGATGCTCCTCCCAGGTGGCTCGTCGCTCCTGGAATAGTTCAAAGGGGCATTCCAGTGTCAGATCTTGATCCAAGGCGGGCCATCGCCTATCCCCGCTTCTTGCATTGCAGTGCTGATTGGGGCGCCGTATCGGGTCGCTTCGGCGGTGTCGAGACATGCGCACATACAGGAGCGAGTGTGCTTCGTCCGGCGTCACTGTTACGAAGATGGGCGTGCCGTATCGGATGCGCATAGCCTGTATCTCAAAGCGCATGATGCGCCGTGCCTCCTGCGTTCCGGGCACCTTTCTGGCAGTGTGGCTCAGGTTTGCTAAAATGCGCTGTGCGGTCGGTGAAAGATTAGGCAGGAAACGGACCAGGTTCAGATTGCCTTTCACAGGCATGAAACGACCTTCGGGGGTTCGGTAGGATCCTTTCAGCCCTTGGATTATTTCGCATGCTGCATCTTCTAGCATACTCGGAGTCAGGGTCTGCCATTCTCCTGCCGCAGTTCGTACGGGTGTGTCATATGCGTAGACAGAACGCGATAGATTCACAGCCGACCGGAACAAGATGTTCCATGACGTGTAGCCAAATGTCCAGTCTCTGTTTAGTTGGCTTTCTATTCGCTGCGACATGAGCCTGGTCCAATCCTGCAGTGTCACGCGTGGTGCCGCTTCGTTTCTTCTCCATCGCTTGTCCGCGTATTTGCCGTAGTTAGGCGGATCAGGCATGGCGGTGCAGTATTTAAAAAGAAAAGCAAATGCTACACCAAAGTACCACGGAGCAAATTGATCCATGGGAGTTGTAGAAGACACAATCTGTCGCTCGGGCACTGTCTCGTCTGCTTGCTCCGCAAGTGCGTCGTCACAGTCCTCTTCTGCAAGTTGGTCCGGTGCTATATCTTCTGCTAACGCACGCAGTGCTGCTTCTTGCTGACCTTCGCCATCTATAACATCGCAACCACTTTTTTCGAGAACGACTGCGTTGGGACGCTGCAGACTCAGTTCTAGAATCGCCTCATCAACAGTATCTGGTTCGGCTATAGGCGCTGCGTTCTTTTGCTTGTAGAGTAGTTCTGTAGCTTCGTCACTTTCGAGCAGTGCCACAACTTCGGCAGGCACATCGTTTTCGGGTAGCACCGTCTCAGCGCGTTGCAACATGGCCTCTAGATCCACGTGCTTATAAGCTGGATGTTCTCGCCGCACAGCATTTTGAATCAGCATGACCACAACGTGCCTACGAACTGTTGCTTGGTGGACGAGGTGCTTGACATCCTCTGCACGGATATCTTTGTCACGACTTTTCAGAATAACTGATACATACTTGCGTAAGTCCTCGCCAGATCTGGGGAGTAACGTCGCGTGGGTTTCTGCCGTGATTGTCTCCAAGTTTTGGAACTCGTTCAACAACCACTCCCAGTCCAGCAGGAACGTAGTTGCCGAGCCGCGGGCACCTTGTCGGAACCGTTGCATATGAACGCGCTCGTCCATTGTCCGGAAGCCGCGATTTTTCTTATCCATACAAAAACAAATTATGCTAGTCATACACGGGCTCGCGCAAATCATCTCCAGCATCGTGACTTGTTCTGTGTACAGTTCTGGGGGTGCATAATAAGCAACCATGTCATTCGCGAGCGCCTTGGCGGGCAGTTGCTCTTTGTGCATGACACTGTAGCAGTATTTACAAACAGGGATCCAGCAGTCTGAGCAAGCATGCTCGTCCGGACACTTGTGTCTGCAATATTTGTCTTCCGGACAGCAGATGACGTCTATTGCGTCTTGAGGGAATTCTAGTTTGCACGTCCAGTCTCCTATTTCTTGCAGCATTTCCTCTTCGCGTGCCGACATAGGTGCGTCTGCGTCCCTGCGTATGTAAAGTGTTTCATAAGTTCGTCGTCCTAACAACGTATCAGTTGACGTTGCGCTTAGACCGCAAAACGTTACTTGGCCTTGTTCATCAGGTTTTAAGGCTTGGTAGAATCTGATCTCTGCGTTTGCATATGGAATATAAATGTAGCGACATGCACACAGGAAGCAAATCACTGTTGTCGGCGCCTTGTCTTCTTCCAGGCCAGCAGCGTAGTGCGACAGGCAACGGCGATCGATGGTGGTGCATGCCAGCGGCGCTGTGTGTTGACATTTCCAGTCTAGCGCGGCACGGTAAGCATCCCATATTTTTGAATTCGTGCTGCAACAAGTTTCTGTTTCGGCGCTCTTACTGAGCCTGCTTTTGGCTGCCTCCCGCGCCTGAATTTTGTCGGCTAAGGGTTGCAAGACGTTTCTATGAGATAGAACTACATGATCCGCAAGATCCTCCGGCTGCTCGCTAGTCCACTGACACTTCTTGAATGCACAGTGTACCGAGGGAATCCTCGCTGCAGGACGCACTTCGCTGTACGCTTGGTACATGGCCGGCAAAGTGGGTCGGTCTAACAAGAGTTCCTGGAGCTGCTCTGTCAATAGATCTTCTTCGGCTCGTGGGTCGCACGTTTCTGTCGCTTTGCATGTTCGCACTAAGAATTGATCTTCTTCTATATCGCTGTCTGGTGGCTGGTCGTCGACGCCCTGTACTTGCACGTCTTCTGCCCGAGGTGCTTGTTTCTGGTGATAGCGACGCTTCTTTCCACTAGGTGGGTGTTCCTTTACCAGTGGTGCCGAGGAAGATTCTTGGATCGCGCGCTTGCCGGCAACTTGTTTTTTCAGCTCAGGCTGCTGCGCTCTCATTTTTCCACGGATTCCAGAGCCTTTCATTTCTGTGCGACATTTCCGGAACTTCTTTCCTGCAACGTGTGCTCTTTGTTTACTCGACTTTGCGGCCTCTACTGGCTCCGTTGCGTTTTGGCCCGGTGGTCTGGTATTTCCGGTTGAAGTGCTGCCAAGCTTTCTCGGGCCACCTTGTGTGTTGCTGAATAAGAAACGGCGAAAGGACGCTGCCAATCTTTCTTGCACTTTCGCACCGGAATCTGAATTATACACCGAAGCTTGCAGCTTCGTCAGAAGCACCTTACCCAAGGCCGCGTTGTCCGACCACGCTCCGCGAACGTCCTCTGTGTCTGCTGATGAAATCTGCAGGCTGCACTTGCGTGCTGTGAAGAACGCCTGCAGGCATCTGTGCAATTCGGCGTCTGTGCACGTTGGTGTTACCTGTGGTACGCGTGCTGCGGACCCGCGGTCGATTGATTTTCTTCCTTCCAGCCCGGCTGCGCCGGAAATGCTCGTTGAGTCGTCGAGCGTGCCCGGCTTGACATGCCGCAAGAAATTGTAAGCTGGAAACGAGAGATCTTTTGTCGTAGCACTTTCTGCCGAAGCCGCGTGCTCGGTCGCACAGCAACGCAGATTGGAGCACCCTGCGTGGCCGTGTGTAGTTCTTTTACAGTAAATGTCTGACATAAAGCGTGTCTTCTGTCGCTTTCCAGATGTTGCTGTGGTGCTCTCAGGCACAGTTGCTGGCGAGGCTGTTGATCTCAGCCTCGCGCTACTGTTGCTGTCCATTGCTTTGTTCCTGCAAGCATGCTGTTCTCCTTGTCTGTCACGTGGAGGCAGGAGCGCGTCAAAATGGTAACTGTTAGCTTCGTCGTCTTGGTAGTTGTAGATGTGCAGAGTCCGCTTCTGCACTTCACGTTCACGGGCGGCTTCTGCTCGTACTAGAACAGCTCCTTGCAGAGGATCGATTTCGATGCCGTCATTTGGTGTGTAGGCAACAATGCGGAACTCGTTTTGCTCGATGGCCGCAGTGTTGTTAAAATATTCCAGAAGAAAGTGCACGATAGCGCGACTGTGCGTGTCAGGCTGCAAAAATGCATTGGCGTGCTCGCCTGCGGACACATTTCGAATTCTACCTCGACTATCCAAGCATTGCGGATGCAGGTTTGCTTCTGCAGAGCACACCAACATTCGACGACAATCATGGCAAGCTTGCATGCGACCGTTAGTGTCATTCAGGAGTTCACTCGGAATCAGTCCCTGTGCTGCTAAAGCGATCGCTAGGGAGTCTATGAGGCAGTTGTTTCCACGACTGCTCGCTTTGTGACACAGCAATCCTTCTTGTGCCAATTCCGTTAAACGTTGCTCGTTCGTTCGCCTCTCTACATCTCTATTCTGCTCAGTTAGACGCAAAAAGCGAGTCACCCACGCTTGCATCGATCTTACATCCATGTCTCCACTGACATCTGCCCAACCATCCCAATCTGTGCACCAGTCCTGCGTTTGCAGTTTCTGAAAGTGTTCCTTATTTATATTGGCGTCGCGAAAACATTGCTGCATGGGTTTCGGCAGGTCTTCCCATTTCTTTGCTCTTGGTCCTTGGCTTGCTTGAGGCACGAGGGCATCAAAATGGTAACTGTTAGCTTCTGCGTCTTGATAGTTGTAAATTTGTAGTGTCCGCTGCGGCACCTCACGCTCAATGGCGGCTTGTGCTCGTATGAGAACAGTTCCTTGCAACGGATCGATGTCCATGCCGTCATTGGGTGTGTAGGCAACAACGCGGAAATCGTTTTGCTCGATCGCTGCAAGGTTGTTAAAGTACTCCAACAGAAAGTGCACGATAGCGCGGCTGTGCGTGTCAGGCTGCAAAAATGCCTGGGCGTGCTCGTACGCGGAAACATTTCGAATTCTACCTCGACTGTCTAGGGATTGCGGATGTAGGTTTGCCTCTGCAGAGCACATCAACATGCGACGACAATCATGGCAAGCTTGCATGCGAGCGTTAGTGTCATTCACGAGTTCCTTCGGTATCAGTCCCTGTGCTGCTAGACCGATCGCTAGAGAGTCTATGAGGCAGTTGTTTCCAAGACCGCTCGCTCTGTGACACATCAATCCATGTTGTGCTAACTCCGCTAATCGTTGCTCGTTCGTTCGTCTCTCTACGTCTCTGTTTTGCTGAGTTAGACGCAAAAAGCGATTTACCCACACTTGCATCGAACTTACGTCCATGTCTCCACTGACATCAGCCCAGCCTGTCCAATCTGTGCACCAATCCTGCGTTTGCAGTTTCTTAAAGTTTTCCTCATTAACATTGGACTCGCGGAAACATTCCTGCAAGGGTTTCGGCAGCTCTTCCCATTCCTTTGCTCCTTCCATTTGCTTTATTCCGCCTCCTTGAAGCTGCGTTTTGATGTTTCTGTTGCGCTCGGAATGCGTGAGTAAGCTTCTTGTGCACTGACTGCCCCGTGAAGTGCGCGGGCTGTCTGCCGGCTGAAAGCAACAGGGCTGCGCTTTCGGTGCCTGGTCTACCTCGCCCGGCAACGCTGCGAAGCAATGAGCAGTCGGAGAGCCGGTCTGAGACGAACTCGGTCTCGCGGCCGCTCCAACTGTGTTCTGCGTTGCGTTGACTGCATAACTGGACCCGGCATGGCGCGCGCTTGGAGTTGCCGGCGATGTCCGCGACACACGCGCTTCGTCGGTACGTGTTCCTACTAAAGCGTCAAAATGGTATCCGTGACCGCGGCCATCCATGTGGTTGTAAAGACGCACAACTGCGTCTGCTGGCTGCCCTATGGCCCCTACTCGCAGTGGCTGTGTTTCGGGACCCATGTCCGCGTCGTCAAAGCGCGTGTAGACAATGATGTCCACCGCGAGTGTCTGCGGCCACGGGCAACCGGTGATGTAGTTATACAGAAATGTCGCGGCAGGCGGCCCGTGTCGATCCAGTTCCAAGTAAGCTTGATCGTTCGCTTGGGCCTGTCCAAGCAAGCTGCGGTCCTGTGGACGGAGAGTTTCATCCGGTCCCTGGACGAATTCCGCACGGCAAGCGGCACAGGCATGAGCCCTGCGCGGAACATTGTCGCGGAGGCTCCGCGGCAGCACGCCGACATTGGCTAAAGTTAGGAGCAACGAGTCCAGAAGACAATTGTTGGCTCCATGCGCATGTCCTTGGTGCAATTGCCAGCCCTCGAGTTGCAGTGTCGCCAGCCTCCCCTCATTGCTTGGGACCGTTACTGTAGCGTTTTTCTGAGCCAGTTTTAACAGTCGCTGACCCAGATGCAAAATTGCACTGTCGGTCGCAGCATTTGCTACGTCACGCCAGCCGTGCCACTCTTTTACCCAAGTCTGTTGTAGAAGGGTTGGAACTTTCGTTTTGTCGCCCAGCACCGAAAGCAGCACGGCTTCGAGAGGCTGCGGCAATGCTGCTTGGCTCCCACCATCTTCCGACAGTTCCTGCGCGCCCCCGGTTCGCAGCCGCGTGCAAGCAAAGGACGCCAGACTAGTTTCCGGCCGACGTACCATGGCTACGCATGCTTTCTGGACGGCATGAAGCGGCGCCACCTGGGCACAGTACGTATAATCGCGATCTTCGTGTAGAGTCTGATGATGCCTTGCGCAGGCTCGGATGTGCGCGAAGCCCCGCGCGGCTTCTAAGGCAGCGACTCGATTTTCCACGCACCATGGACAGTAAAACTCTCGAAGCTCCTGCTCTGCACATCGGTTGCAGACCCGCCGACGACAGGCTCCACAACGACACAGATATTGGTCTTCGAAATTAATCTGATGTCGCTCGACGCAGACGATGTCACAGAAGAAGCACGGTGCTCGAGGTATAGTGGCAGTGTCCGTGACACTTCCATCAGTGAGCGGAGCGCCACCCCGCATGTGCGTACGACTTCCGACTGCACTGTTGTTCTGCGCGCGCAGGCTGTAACAAGGTGAGGTCGTGTCCGCGCGAGTCTCGGAACTTGAAACCGTGGCCGTGCCAGTGTGATTGCGCAATCGCGCCTCTGCCGTGTTCGTGCACAGACGCGCGTCGCGCCTGGCCTGGCCTGCTCCCATGGCGCGCTGCGCTGTCCGGCTCTGCGTCCACTCGCACCTGGGAGCGCGACGATGCGTCGTGTCCCCTCTGTCCCTTACCTGCCGCTGTGCTCCGCCGCCTTGAAGCTGTGTCTTGGTCTTTGTGTCGCGCTTGGTCTGCGTCACTAAGCTTTGTTTCCACTTGCTGCCCCGCGAAACTTGCGGGCTGTCTGCCTGCCGAGAGCGACGGGAGCCACGATCGTCATTTTGCTGCAAACTTGGGCGCCGATGCGAGTCGCCATTTCTGCGCCTGCGTGCGGCTTCTGCTGAGCGAGTGCCAAAAATCCTTCTCCACCGAGTCGCACACACACGCTGCCGACACAAGTCCAGATGTTCTGGCCGAGCATAGCGCCGCCTGCAGAGGCGAAGCCCTGGCAGCAACCTTTGACGCCGCGCCGCGCGGCGTTGCCGAACTGCCCAACGTAGATCCTCGCAAGAGTCCAGTACACGCATCGTGCGTGTCGCGTCCGCGTTGCGCAACAATTGCACTTGCCCTACAGGTAGCTGCTGTCGGTCGGCTGGTTTGTGTAAAGCCGCGGAGGAGGCAGGAGCAAGAAGACAATGCATTGACCGTGCTGGCCGGCGCCACGTGACTTGAGCCTGTCCCGGCTGCAACGTTTCTGCCCCTATCGGCGCTGTTACAAGTGCAGAAACGCGACGACGGCGCGGCTTGTGCCGGCGGCAGCACAATGCAGCCCTCCACTGGTGGCGAGGGTTGCGTCGCAGCTTTTGGGTTGCGGCACGAAGACGCCGTCCAAGCCCATTCCTGCTCGTACAGAGTTGGTTCTCGAATCGATGAACGTCCAGCGGCGTACAGCCTCTAGGAACTACTTCCGATTCAGGCGGGCACCACGTACGGTCCCCGCATTCTACGGTGCGACGGTCTGGACAAATAGACCAGAGTGGGAAACATGTGCAGTTCAGAGTACGCATGGGTCCGTCTCGGCCAGACATGCGAAACCAGTTTCCGAGTATGACGAAAATGCCGTGGAAGGCGCCGTTCTGCACTTGCAACGTCGCTGGCACGTGGACCCACGCTGCGGCCCAGACATTGTGACGGGATAAGCGCGATGCGGTGGCTAGTGTAGTGCGTGCATAGCACTCCTGCCGATGCTTCCGGCATTCCTCCGTATTATACAGCCTCTGCGTTTCGTTATGCTTGTCGCTATCTATGCTCGCCTGCAACAACGTCCTACTATGCATGGAAAGACTGCTCGCTCTGGGCATCGATCTCTTCTGCGATGTTACAGGGATGAAGGGGCCAGTTTTTTTGCTCTTGGAGTTCTGGCAACTCCCGCCAGCATTTAAGGAGCTCTGGCGTCTCCCGCGGCGTTTTACGTCTGCCGGAAAGACGTCTCCCCCCAGGATTTCCGTCACCGGCACTGATGCCGCTCGATCACCCTGTTGCTGCGTGCGCCCAGATGACCGCTGCACCTGTACTCGCGGTGACAGTCGATGCATCATTGCTGTTGACGCGCCCGCTACGGTCTGGGTCTGTTGGTTCGAGCCTTCAGTGCTACAGTCTCACCGCACGTCATTGCACATGTATGTGCGGCCATGCGCTTGTAGGAAGGCACATGTGCAGAAGCTTACATGCAGCTGTGCACCAGTCCGACATTCCTTTTTCTTCTGAGGGACGTTCGCTTCCTGTGTCCTAGCCAGATAGCCTTTTGCGTCCGGGCCATCAAACCTCTAGCCTGTGGAGAGCAAGTGCGAGTATGTGGTGACTGTACAGAGCATAGTTCCATTTTCTCGATTTTCACTCTCTGAATTACTTCTCTACGTAGAGTAGCAGGCCAGGGTCTGTCGCCAGGGTGTCCGTCGCCGGCACTGCTGCCACTCGAGCACGCTGCTGCTGTGTGCGTCCAGATGACCGCTGCACATGTACTCGCTGTGACACCCGATGCATCATTGCTCTTGACGCGCCCGCTCCGCTCTGGGTCCGGTGTTTCGAGCCTCCACTGCTACAGTCTCAGCGCACGTCACCGAGCATATATGGTCGGCCATCTGCTTCTAGGCAGGAACATGTGCAGATGCTGTACATGCAGCCATGCACAAGTACGACATTCGTTTATTTTCTCAGAGGCGGTCGCCTTTTCTGTCTTTGCCAGAAAGCTTTTGCGTCCGGCCACCAAACCTCGAGTGTGCGAAGACCAAGTACGAATATATGGTGACTGCACAAAGCATACTTACACTTTCACCCCGCCTGTTGTTCTCCTGCGCGAATGACACGAAGGTTCTTCGCAACTCACTCTTCGCGTGCCGACGCATCCGCTCAGAAGAATTTGTCAGCCTTCAAGCCGCTTCGTTGGGGAGGTGTTTAGGAATGCTTTAAGGTATAGGATTGGTGTCGGGAGTCGGCCTGAGGGTTTAGGGTTTGAGGTTTGTTTCAGGTTTAGCAAGTCACGGTTTAGGACACTGTCCTGGCGGCAAGAAGACCTTCTCGGCTTTCCAGTTCTTTCGTTGGAAACTTCAGGGTTTAGGAATGCGTTCAGGTGTAGCAGTGGTTTAGGGATTAGCTTGGGGTTTAGGGTTGGTTTAAAATGTAGGGTTTAGGCCGATCTCTTGCACCATGCATCTTGTAAATCCTTGAATGCTCCAACCACCGTAAACTCGTGAAGTCGGGAATCCTGAAGCTCTATCTGCACCCTGAGCCTCTGAATCCCCAAACCAAGAAAACGCTATATAAACCTTACACCCTGAGAGCCTAAACCTCAGAACTCTGAATTTCCCACGCAGGCGTCCTCCCGTCACTTTCAGAACACGCGTGACTGGCCGCGGCTCCGAGAGGAGCGTCGCTGAAGGGTCAGGGTTCAGGCTCAGGATCTAGGGTACAGGGTTGTAAGCTTTAAAGCAGGGTTGTTGTCGAGTCTCCTGACGGCTCCCACAAGAAGTCGCACTTCCTACAGAGTTTCAGCCTCACAAAGCTTTAACTCTCATGAGTCTATACGTGCAACTGTACCCTTGACATTCTGTAATAAGGACCCGCGCTCCAACACAATCATGTCTGAACCCTTTTCTGTACAGTACCCACGGACGCTCTTGAAATTTGAAACATGGTTGCAAGCTATCTGCACAGCATCCACTGTCGCATAAACGCACTTCGAGGGACGACGATGATGCAAGCCTAGACGCGGCAGTTTAAGAAATCCTCGTGAAGCAACATTGCAACTTGCCTGTGGCGCGAACGACTTCTGACATTCTTGTCTTTATTCTGCACACCACACGCAACTTCTTAACACTGGCTCCCCACCCGGCACTGCCAAGCATCCCAACCTGGCTGCAGCCGCCTCATTCCGCACCAGTTTTTGCACCTGGGCGAACACCCACACAAACACGTACCCCAGAGACACATCTACCAGGCTTGCAGCTTACATTTTCGGCTTCAGGCTTTGTCGTCAAGGGCGAGAAATAAAGGGTGCGGGTTGTTCTGTGTCAGTTTCCGGCATTCACACCTCGAGAAGCTCTAACCGGGCCGCCCCTAACCATTCAAACAGTGTATGCTTTGAAGCTGCACCGTACGATTCGACGGTGACACGCACAACAAAGACTGTAGGGTTGGAGGCTCCACGGTCGTGTCGAAACACAGCCCGCCCTGCAGATTCTTAGCACAGCTACCGAATAATGCAGTTTTACATCCGCTGATGCATTACTTAAGAACTCTGCACATTGACACTGCTTTAGCTGGGCTATATACAAGCACTCGCTGGAGCTACTGCTACAAGTGGGAAACTTGCTGCCTGTGATGTATCTGCACTTGAACATGAGAACGTACAGCCAACCAGTGGCGAGCTTGCTGCAAACTCCTGCATCCATAGATACCACTGCACTGCAGCGTCACCTAGGACAAACCCACAAGCTTGCCCATCACGAAGAACGAGTCCGGCTCCTTTTACCATCATGCACTGCCCGTCTGATGGCCTAGTGTATCACCAGGCCATGCAGACCCGGGCAAGCTGGCTCCAAAAACCGTCGAACACCATTTCCGGTGTCACTGCACTGCCCGTCTGTTGGCCTAGTGTAACACCAGGCCATGCAGACCCGGGCATGCTGGTTCCAAAAACCGTCGAACACCTTTTCTGCTGTCACTGCCCGGTGTAACACCAGGCACTGCAGACCCGAGCACGCTCATCCGAACCACCAAGCCGGAGCCGGATCCTGCAGCAGCTGATAGACGCAGCAATAAGCCTCCAACTCGCCGTCCGAAACATGCTTGCCAGGCAAGGGGTCGAGACCAAGTCGGACCACCGGCCACCATGTCTGCCCAGGTGGCAATGCAGGCATCGTTGTCGTCGCGGCCGTCGCTGGCACGTTGCACCAGTCGACGGCGAGCGACGATGTGCGATAGGCTTTGCAGCCTTGGGTGGGATCATAGCTGACCACCACTATTTCGAACTGCCGTGCCGTCCGCGGCACGACTTTGCTGCTCGCCGCGCCTGTCGCTTTGAGATGGAAATGTGATTTGTTCCGGGCGGCTTTGATGAGATTCTCGACTTCCCCCCAGTAGTTCTTTATGTTCTCCTGTGTCAGGGGCCCGACACATCCACCACCGAAACGAAACACATGACCAAACTTCTTCGGCTCGCCGAGCATCCGCACAAGCAATGCTGTCTCTTTCAGCTTCATTTCATGCACCTTTGACGTCAGGTGTGCATCTGAGGCCACCTTGTCGCACATGCAGCACCGTCCGCACAAGGACGTGATCTTCCCGGCGACCTCTAACTCTGCGCTGGAGAAGTGCATGCTGCTGAGCTCCGCCTCGAAGTTCTGAAGGCTCTCCAAGAACATCTCCATCATACTGGCCACGCTCACTTGCTGTCTCACCAGGTCACCATACACGATGCCAGCATCCAGCTTCGGCTGCTGTTCCCCACCAGCTGTCGGGAAAATCGCAGCAGCGGCACCCGCTTGGCGATGCCCGTCCCTCCTGGTTAGCAACTGCTGGTTGGTCAGACCACGGATCGATTCCTTCTCTGCCTCGGAGCCTGCATGGTGTAGCAAGGTTCGGCGAATGTTGCGGGCTACTCGCCCTGATCCTAGCTGCGACTGCGTCCGATTCGATCGCCCTGAGGACGTTTCCATGTCATCGTCTGACAATGCGCTCTCTGGCACAGCTGTGCTGCCATCCACGGACCTCTTCGACATGGCTCCCAGGCACAGAACTTAGAACCCACACCCCTCAGCCGCGGTGCCGGCAACTGTGGATGACTTAACGCAGCTACAGCAAGCATAAGTGGCATGTGAACCTACGATGAGTTCACACCAAACAAACACTCGTTGTGTTTCACTGCCAACCAAGCCTAGCAGCTAGCGGCATTGACCTAGAGCCAAAATGTGCACGCAGTGTTCTCGCGCCTCGAGCACAATTACCAGCATGACTGACTCTCGTCTCACGACACATGTGCAGCCCCGACTTTCGCACCTGCATCAACTGCCACGAAATCCGGCTCTATACATTTAGTCGGCAGAAGCAGCCAGACACGCTTCGGCAAAACGTTCTGCACACCCTGCTGAGCGTCGCACCATCTTGCAAGAATCCAGCTTGCCATTCTTCTGGCAATCCGCGATCACCTCAGATAGCATGGAGCTGTTGCTTTGACTTAACAGGTCTTCCTTATGTTCGAGATATTGGGCTCTCTGGGCCACACTAGAAGCTTTCAGCGAATCCGCAGCACTCGAACTTCACTGGCTCGGCTTGATTTCAAACCTTCGGGAAACTTGGCAACGATGCGGACGTCGCCGCAGGCAGGGTCAAGAAATCCTCATCAAACTCGGTTTGCGGTATCGGGATTTGGGGTTTAGGCCGCAAGCCTGAACCTCGGAACCTCAACCCAATGTTCTGCTGCTCCAAATCCGCCTCAGAGGAACAGCTGTCGATTCTACAGCTCACAGCTCTACAACATCCCCTGCAGCTCTCGCTCCTTCAACATAAGGCTTCGGAATTAAGAGCGCTTAGTGGATTTGGGGCGGAACTTAAATAAGTAGGGCCACGGACAAATACAAGAGATGACCAAACTGACAGGTAACTCCACTTAAAGGGTCATGGACTGAGTAACTAGGATTATAACTACGCTAACCCTACTTATAACCCCAATTGAAGTACTTACAACCTTCCTTGCTAAGTCCCAGAATCCTTTAAGCACTACTGTAAGGTACTTGCAACCTTACCCTGGCTCTCCCAAAATTCACCCTAAGCCTCAAACTAAACCCGAAACCTTATCTGCCACCGGCCCGAAGCACAGAGGCGGAGCAGCCACGTAAAGGAGGACCTGCAGTCCTGCAGAAGCAGAAGTTTTCGAAATTTAGGGCTACCTTTTTTCGGTGTCCTTATCATCCGGATCCTGCCGTTTAGGGTACTACATAAGCTTTGCAGATCCCCAGCTTATCTTTGCAGTCGGTGTGGCTTGTTTCAGGTCGTCTGACAGCGTTCTGTCCGGGTCATGTTGGGCATCTAGAATGCTCGAGATCTTGCCCCGATACCTTAAATCCACGTGTCTCCTACTCTGGCACGTAATTTCAAAATAGTCAGTACAGTAAACCAGTATTCGACATTTTAACGACAAGACCCCTCCAACAACTCCAAAAAACCTGAGAAACCCACCTACCCTATATCAGACTAGCAATACAACTGTAACTATTGCCACATAAAAGCGTAGTTTTTTCTTCCCTGTACAAAGGCGATTGCTAACTAGAAGACCTTTGGAAGTAAACTTTCTGTCGCAATAGCTCGAAATCCGCATGGTTCAGCAGCATTCGAAGCCTTGCAAAACCTCGAAGCCAGGCAAAACCCTTCCAAGAGACTGCAGCACTCTCAAAAACCTCCTGATAACAACCCTAGGCCTAAAACGACGGAAAATTCCTAACAAAACGCCACAGAAACACTAAAAAACCTCACAAAACACAAATTTTCCCTAAACCCCTACACCCTAAGCTCTTCACGCCTAAGCCTTTATCAACCCTACGCCCTGAACTTTACACGTCTGTCCGTGCAAACGCCGGAGAGCTGGCGTCGAGCGAAAAATGCGCAGCGGACCGGCACCTGCACCAGCTCTGGTGGGCTTGGGTCGGTCTTAGGGGCTACCTCTTTGAGTTTAGGGGGTTTAGGGGTTCCCTCTAGCTGGGTTTCGGGTTGCGGGGATTAGGGTTCAGAGTGTGGGAGTGGCAGATTTAGGACTTTAGAGTTTCGAATTGTGGGATTAGGGGTTAGGGTTTCAGGATTCAAGAAGTTCGGCAAGAGAGGTAGTATATGGTTTCCATCAGGGTTGACGGGGGGGCGGGTTTCAGGTTGGGGGTAGGGATTCGGGTTGCTTCAGGGTTCTGTAAGTTCTGTAAGGGATACTACACGGCTAAGTCTTACTAGAAGGGTTATGATTGCTACGCGGCTTCGGGCTCCTCGTAGAGAATCCAATAAAAGATACCGAAAAGGTGTCCCTTCTAACGGGGTGTGGGTTTAGGTTAAGGGGTTCAGGGGTTTGCGTTCTGGCTGCGGGGTGGAGCTTCCGGCCTTGGATGCGGGGTTAGGGTTTTAGAACGATCTAAAAAATATTTCGAAGTACCCCCAAGGTAGGCTTGTATAAGCGCCACAAGGTTAAAGGCTACCTCCTCAGCCCCTAGGAACCCCGTCAATTGTAGGACTAAGGATCCTGTACCGTTGTAATTCTTGGTTGCTGAGTTCATAAGCCCCAAAAAAGTGTACGCTTTCAGCTTTATAATGGGTAATCTTACCGAGCAAATGTAAAGTGAATCCAGTCAGCTACTAAGGATTTGAAGGGGTTCCCGAAACCCCGGAGGTTTAAGGAGCCAAGCTTGCCTTTAGCCTCCTGAAGTTGGTCTTCTTGGCTACCTTGTATTCAAAAAACTAGATCTTGTACCACCAGGCAGATCCGAGCTGGTCGTGCTGCTACAGAACACAGCCGTCTGATCCTGCTACAACTGTACCAGACTCATCACTGCCTAGTGTACCACCAGGCAGATCCGAGCCGGCCGTGCTGCTACAGAACACAGCCGTCTGATCCTGCTACAACTGTACCAGACTCGTGACTGCCTAGTGTACCACCAGGCAGATCCGAGCTGGCCGTGCTGCTACAGAACACAGCCGTCTGATCCTGCTACAACTGTACCAAACTCGTCACTGCCTAGTGTACCACCAGGCAGATCCGAGCTGGCCGTGCTGCTAGCTTCTGTGGCTCCGAAACGGGAACGCTTTCTGTCACCTCCCTACCGACCTCTAATCCAGCCTACCCTGCTATAAAAGCCTAACCACCGCCACCCTCCCAGGCAATCTTCTCAACCGCTCAATTCGTCGCCGTGCTCTCCCTCACAACCCAAACCAGCTGAACCAGATGATGAGTGCTTCCTGCCTGATCCGGTCTTCAAGCGATAGAGATCAGATGCGATAGAGCCTGTCTCGGAAACTTGTCAGCATCTTGAGAAATTCCGTCTGAGCGGACCATACGCGGCCCTAGACCCGACGCGATCTAAAGCTTAGGTCGCTTTTTTTTTGTAGACGGAGCCCAGGTCTCGCATACAGTCCACTCTATACTCTTTTCTGTAGAGTACCTACGGCTGCTTGTGCAAGTTCAACTTGCACGAAGGTGACTAGCTGTCTCTACAGCATGCACTGTCGCTCAGAGACGATGCGAGCAGTACGATGAGTAGTACTTCAGCTTAGATTCGGAATGGTAACAGACCAAGCTAGAGCGACATGCGTAATGCAGGTAGTCTGACACGCTTGAACTGGCCGCAGATGGCTTCAAACAAGCTTGAAACTCTGTCTGCGCAGAACACACGCCGACCTGCACCCTAGCAATCCAGAATTGTACTCGCATCTTTGTCTAACAGGGTTCAGGTCTCGGATATGGTTTCTGTACTCTTTTCTGTACAACACCCACGGACGCAGTGGCAGTCTGAACGTGAAACATGCTAGCTAGTACTCTGTACAGCATCCACTGTCGCAGAGACACGATGTGAGGACTAGGACGAAAGACATTGCACCTCGGTTCCACATCTTCGTTAGAGCAATAAGCATGCTGCAGTTCGCCGTAGAGCTTACGCTCTAAGTTAAAGGGTACTGTGTTTAGGTTCTTTTGTCACCCTTAGTACTTTCTGGTAGTCGGTAGTTTGTGTACAAGCATCTGTTTCATGAGAGATACACAGGCCACTTGTCTACTTGTCATTGGCATAAAGAAGAGTCATATTCAGTTCTAGAAAGGAGTTCGAGCAAAGTCTACAGCAAAAGCACACAGGGAGTACTGCCTCTTTATTGCTGAGCCCTACAACCCCTGACGCTAGACATGGATGCACACTGCACAAGACAACACATGCTTCCGTAGGTTGCGCTGCCTGGGCAACTAAATGGATTCGCTCAGACATGCCATGCCTTCTTGAAGCGTCACTAAAGCAAAACACTTCTTGTCAAGACTGATCTCATGGGCACAGCATGCCCGCTGCTGGATTCAGAACCCAGCAGCCAGGCAAAGTCGCACTTGAAACATCTTGAAACAGTAGAGTCGCAGAAGGCTTCGCCCAAGCTTCGCTAATAAAGCTCTGCTTCTTGTTCACTTTTGGTTGCGTGTTTCGGTTGTTTCGTTACGCTGCTCTTTCTTGCCTCCTCCTAGCATCTGCGACAACTCAGTTACCAGTGCTGCGCTCAGAAAACGGGCTCCGGTGCTTCAGCATCATCTTCTTCTGTTGCTCCGGTTGCTTCCGCAACTTCCGGTGCTGTTGCTTCGATACCATCCGCTTCCGCGTGAGCATCTTCCGGTGCTGTTGCTCCGACACCACCCGCTTCCGCATGATCCGGCTCTCCTGCTGCTCGAACATGCTGCTGGGGCGCGACTTGGGCATATCCATCTGCCCATAGGTGGAACTGGATCTGCTGCCGCCAGTTTCTTGCGCTCAACCCCAAGCACGTCAACATAGCTCCCGGAGCCAAAGCCAAGGTTGCCCACGAGTCCCACAGCGTGATCGTCAAACCTCGGCGTACAGAGATTCGGCCGTAAGGTTCAAAATCTGAGATTAAACCTGCGAGTTGCTTGGAGCGTTTGGCAAAACAAACCCGATCCAGCGCCTGATCCCATGCCTGCCTGCCCGATGCCAACCCCAGGCACTCCTCCCCTTCCTCTCTGTCTTGCATCGAGTGACTTATTACGTCTGTTTGGGGTCTGAAAAAGTTATCCGAAGTGAGAAGCGTTCAGTGCATATGCCGCTGCCATGTTAGACGTGTCTACATGCAGGCTCAGGGTCGTTTCATAATCCGATGTTGCGCACTCTTACCGTGTCCCTGCTTCCTTCTCTCAGTGTGCAGTAACATGCCTAGAAAGAGTGAAAGGGGGCGGGTGCAAGAAGTATTCTCCATTGCACGCGTCCTGAGGCAGGCGCGCGAGCCATCGTCTTCGGAGACGATGATGCGTCGGCGCGGACGTCCCTCCGTCGATGCATCCAGCTCACCCACTTCGACAACTGTCGCCTGCATGTTGAGCTCGACCGTGGCTGCCTCGTCCACAACCAGCTCACTTGCGCGAGACATCTGGAACTCCGTCTCGGGAATGCTGCACGGAGTATCCAGCAAGATAGCGGAGGACCTGGGCTGTTAACGCACTCAAAGATCTGCATGCGGGTGATACGCTAACACGACCCACGAACATGAGCATGTCCCTGCCTGTGCAGCAAGCGTCGGCGTTTCCCGTCTGTGGCGTCCCCGTCGGCGTGGTAGTGGAGCTCGAGCTGGCCTGGCACGCCTCGCCAAGCCGGGTGCACTGTGACATTTCGCAGCTCCACGTAAGAGTCCAGCTGCACATTGGTCCACACATCGCGAGCCCCGGATTTCACGGACACAGTGCAATTGCCATCTGTCAGGCGAAGCCGGCGACAGGGATACGCGTTAGCAGCACCACCCAAAAAGCAGACCCGGCCACGAACACTCACGGGTTCGAGGGTCACCTTCAGGTCACGCAACGCGGTGACTGGACGGATGATGTCCGGCACCGACACAGCCGTTGCAGGAGCAGCGCGTACTCCGCGCGCCGGCTGGGAAGCTACGAAACGGGGCATGGCGGCAGGAACAGTCTTACAGAACTACTCACCGGGGACAGCGTTCCGATTCAGACTCGAGCAACTGCACTGCGCAGGACATTCACAAGAATGGCAGGCAGTTGTCTTCTATCACCGCAACGCGGCATCTTCCTGGAACAACCACATCAACGCGGTATGAATCCGGCAGTGCCTTTCTTGGAAACCTGTGAACCATGTTGAATGACTGAGGCCAGTATTCGTGGTAACGAGGAGGCTATATAGGGAACATGCATTCGTTCTCTTGACACGCAGAACAACGGCATACAGACCTGACTCAACCCTGATCTACATTCTCTACACACGCATCCGTGTGTGTCCGTCTCCATCACGAGTTTCTGCTCACGTGCTTTACCGATACGGGTTCTCGTCAACCGGGTCTGTTGCAGCACGCAGCACAATTATCACTTTGATTCCTGATGAAAGCAACGTGTCCCAACGGTCGCCGCTCGTTCCTGCTGTTGCAGTACCAAGGCTGTTGATCCTGTTGTTAATTCAAACACCACGAACTGTCGACATCCTGAACCACCGCTGACGAAAAGAACATGTGGCCACTGTGTCTGCGCCTGGACCATGGCACTGTCTCTGAGCTCTGCCTGCGGGAGCCTGCAGTCTGGAAAAGCTGATCACCAGACATCGACACGAGTTGTAAATCTGCAACAGCCCGGAGTACTTAGAAGATGATTCTGGGTGCTTTTTTCTATACGCGACGTACAAGAAGTAACTCGAAAGGAACAAAATTCATGATTGCTACGCTTCTCCAACACGTGACGAGCTGTATGGAATTGAGGTTCCTGACTTGTAGGTCCGAACACTCAGGATTCCGCGATTTTACACCCTGAAGTCTCACATTGCATTGTGTTGTAGAGGCTGGCACGCGCCGTGGGACCGAATAATGCGGCGGAGGATGGTGCTAAGTTGATTCTCGTAGAGCTAGCATGGATATCACGATAAGCGACAGGGAGCGGGCACAAAGTACGTGACATGGCCGCCACGGTGGTACCACGTTCAATCTCTTGACAAGCGCCAGCACAACCGAGATCACATGCCATCCACTGCATCCGGAGAACTACACAGTTTCCCAGTCCAACTTGATAAAGTGTCCAGTATACCAACATCCTGCTGGTGTCGTAGCTGCAGGAGACTGTGTAGTGTCAGTAGCGTGTTCTATCAGGTCAAGGAAACAAAGATACGGCTTCGTATAGATTCCCGAGACTAGTCCTTGTGAACATGAAGGTCTGGGGCTCTTGGTACTGAAGAAACGTGCGCTGCCGTGCACGCAGCGTGATCAACGACACTTCCAAGGATCGAGTACAGTAGAAGCTTGGATAATGAAACTTCTCAGTGTTTTGGTGCACTATATTCAGCTCCGAAGCCTTCTTCCACTGAGTAAGCTTTCGTTATTGCATAGCTGAGGAAGATATGAAACTAGTCTAAGTTGCTGCGGCGTCTGTCTGGAACTCATTCTACCTCCAAACATCTAAACCTATGCACCCCTAGAGCTGAGACCCTTAGCCCAAGAAACCCGTGCTCAGAACGAAACTCTTCACCCTATACTAATACCCAAAACCGCAAGCTCAAAGCTTTAAACTGGGAGCCCCCTAAGTTCTTCTAACCCCCAACCACGCAAACCGGTCTCGGCACCCCATTCATGTTCTGGAGCCTTGATGGCCTCCACCTCAACTTCTTCGTGGGGGAAGCCTCGCGAGTGCGGATAATAGGGTTGGTGGGTAAAGAGTCTTAGGGTTTCCGAATTCACGGTGTTTAGACTTTGTGGTGGCAAGGCGTTTCAAGCTTCGGAGTGGAGGGTCCAGCGCTGTAGGCCAAAAACTTTTACTGGTTTACCAGTTTTGAGATTCATCTTCCTCAGCTGCTAGCATCCCTTTGTGTCTGCTGCCCTTTCTAATCATCTTGGTTTAGTTGCTTGCTTGTCTCTGACCACAACCACAGACCCGAGAAAAAGCCAGCGACTCCAAACCACGTGTCTCAGGATACGCTCGCTTCTCCAATATTGCTCGACGAGATCTACACGCAATCCCATGAATTCTTGAGCTCCTACATCGGGCGTCCTCAAACCAACCCACAAGCCCGAAGACTGGGAACTCTGAAGAAAAATCTGAACCTGCCTGAATCTCCTCGCACTTGAAACGGTACCTCTGAATCCTTACACTGCCTTACGTAAACCCGAAACATTACACCCTGGAATCTCTAGACGCTGAAGCCTGAACTACTGACCCCCGTGACTGCTTTTGTTTCAGAGCACGTGTGACCCGTTGCGGCTGCAAGAAGAGCGTCCTTAAAGGGTTAGAGCGCAGGAGCGGTGCGTAAGGCACGGAAGCGTAGGCTTGGAGCAATTTTGAGCTAGAGTCTCCTGTGCTTCTCGAAATCCGCATGGTCCTAGCAGCATTCGAAGCCTTGCAACACCTCGAAGCCAGGCAAAACCCTTCCAAGAGACTGCAGCACTCTCAAAAACCCCCTGATAACAACCCTAGGCCTAAAACGGCGGAAAATTCCTAACAAAACGCCACAGAAACACTAAAAAACCTCACAAAACACAAATTTTCCCTAAACCCCTACACCCTAAGCTCTTCACGCCTAAGCCTTTATCAACCCTAGGCCCTGAACTTTACACGTCTGTCCGTGCAAACGCCGGAGAGCTGGCGTCGAGCGAAAAATGCGCAGCGGACCGGTACCTGCACCAGCTCTGGTGGGCTTGGGTCGGTCTTAGGGGCTACCTCTTTGAGTTTAGGGGGTTTAGGGGTTCCCTATAGCTGGGTTTCGGGTTGCGGGGATTAGGGTTCAGAGTGTGGGAGTGGCAGATTTAGGACTTTAGAGTTTCGAATTGTGGGATTAGGGGTCAGGGTTTCATGATTCAAGAAGTTCGGCAAAAGAGGTAGTATATGGTTTCCATCAGGGTTGACGGAAGGGCGGGTTTCAGGTTGGGGGTAGGGATTCGGGTTGCTTCAGGGTTCTGTAAGTTCTGTAAGGGATTCTACACGGCTAAGTCTTACTAGAATGGTTATGATTGCTACGCGGCTTCGGGCTCCTCGTAGAGAACCCAATAAAAGATACCGAAAAGGTGTCCCTTCTAACGGGGTGTGGGTTTAGATTAAGGGGTTTAGGGGTTTGCGTTCTGGCCGCGGGGTGGAGCTTCCGGCCTTGGATGCGGGGTTAGGGTTTTAGAACGATCTAAAAAATATTTCGAAGTACCCCCAAGGTAGGCTTATATAAGCGCCACAAGGTTAAAGGCTACCTCCTTAGCCCCTAGGAACCCCGTCAATTGTAGGACTGAGGATCCTGTACCCTTGTAATTCTTGGTTGCTGAGTTCATGAGCCCCAAAAAGGTGTCCGCTTTCAGCTTTATAATGGGTAATCTTACCGAGCAAATGTAAAGTGAATCCAGTCAGCTACTAAGGATGTGAAGGAGTTCCCGAAAACCCGGAGGTTTAAGGAGCCAAGCTTGCCTTTAGCCTCCTGGAGTTGGTCTTCTCAGCTACCTTGTATTCTAAAACAAGGGTCTTGTACCACCAGGCAGATCCGAGCTGGCCGTGCTGCTACAGAACACAGCCGTCTGATCCTGCTACAACTGTACCAGACTCGTCACTGCCTAGTGTACCACCAGGCAGATCGGAGCCGGCCGTGCTGCTACAGAACACAGCCGTCTGATCCTGCTACAACTGTACCAGACTCGTGACTGCCTAGTGTACCAGCAGGCAGATCCGAGCTGGCCGTGCTGCTAATGTGAGCGGCGACGGCTTCAGACATCTGCTTCCGGCGCATATGGCTCTGGGAGACAATCGGCTGTCAGGCGAGGTGCAGCTTCTGCAAGCATGTACTGTGAATGGACCTAATCTGAAGTTGCACTGTTGCGAATTAATCAGTCTTTATGACCTATTTTTGTTTTCAGAGGGTCCGGCTCTCTAACGGACGCTCCCGATACCTGAATTTGAAACATGATGCTCAGCTATCTGTACAGCATCCTCTGTTGAAAAGGCCAGATTCATCAAGCTGCGGTACTCAATACTGCACCCTCGAACATGTGTTCTGCAACTCGCATTGGAAACTAGCCGGCATCTTTTGCAACCTCTTGAAACCACTACCCGCGGATGGCCTTGAGTAAACAAACACTCTCTCCGAAGGGAGCATCCGTAGATATGCACGCTTGAGTATTCATTGTCGTTGAAGAAACCCGGGTCTCGTATAGAGTGCCTGCTGGAACCTGTTCTGTACAGTATCTGGAGGCACGTGTGATGCAGCTCGCTGGAAGCTGGATGGCATCTCTTGAAACTGCTTGCATCAGCACTGCCTCCGACTCCGGATAAATCCTGCGTGGACCTGCAGTCTTGCGAGCCTGTAAATTTGCTCGCACTGGTGTACCCACGAACAGTCTCGGAGGTTCAATATGAAACACAGTGCCTTCCACGGTGGCACAGACACGATTTGCTGGACCAGGAACCTCAGCACATCCTCTTACTCCGGGACCTGAATAAACCTCTGCTGAAGCGGCGTGTGTCCTGCACCTCGCCTTGCAAACGGGATGGCATCTCTTGAAACACTTTCAAACAATGTGGCCGCACATGATCCCGAGCAAGCTTTCCTCTGTCTGCATGGTCCGCACGTGAGCTTGAACCCGTGTGAATGTACACTCGTCCGTCACTTTTTTCTGGCGAGAACCCGGGCCGGCAATATACTCTTTCCTGTACACTAGCCACGGACGGTCTTAAAGGATGGAGCTGGAACATAGCTACCTAGCTATATAGCAACCACTGTCACTGTCTTGGGTTCTGAGGCTCAAGACTGCAACTAGGTCCCGGCACTTTTACAGCCTTCAATAGAATAACATGTGCGCTGCAGCTCGTTTGGGAACCTGGACGGCGTCTTCATGATTTGCCGTGCCTCCTCAAAGAGACAGCAAGACAGCGCCAATACGACCGGGGGACGTGTTGCCGAGTCTGATCTAGCAGGCATGGCATGCTAGCTGCCTGATTCGAAGCTAAAAGAGCAATCCCAAGGTCTCTTGTCGTGCCTACCACTTTATATTAGTTACCGGTTTCTTCGATACGAGTCTCCAGGTCATGCGAGGCTACACAGGGTTCTTGTCTTTGGTACGTCGAGGGGACGCAGTCACTGATAAAGAGGATCTTGACTGAACAAGGGACTAGCCCGTCGTTTATTGCTTGGCCCTATAACGCAGACATAGTATCAGCGCTTGTTACTGGCTCTGTGGAACGGGGCACAGCAACCGCTGTACAGTGGCGACTGTGTTGCTGAAAACTCTGTAGCAACAAAGTCGCCAGCTACCTCTGCTCCGATTCCGAAAGTCGAACCAGAAACATAGCGGCAGTTCAATCTTCGTTGTCGTCCGACCCAGACCCGGCTGCATGATCCGGGTCGCGCACGCCCTGGCGTCGAACTAGAGTTTCTACGTTAGGCTCCGGGGCGTAAGATTCAAGGTGGTGTGCGCTGGCCATCCTAAGCACAAGCATAGGGGCGCCTGACGTCGCAACCCATCCGCTTGCCACGTCTGAGCACAATTGATGAAAGCCAAGCTGTCATCGGCGAATTTGCGCCCTTGCTTCGAGCTACAAAACCGAATCTTGTTCCCGCGCAACCGCGACGTGACAAGCACCCACAAAAGAGGACCACTGCTATCGAGCAACGCTTACGAGCAGGTCCTCCGCCTCCACGCAGAAGAAGAAGCTGTTGCGTGACGTCGACGGCTGCTGAAGCTGTGACCAAACCAGCGCGCTGCCGCTCCTTCGCGGTGCGCAAAGCCGTATCGGCCACCTCAGCAGTAGGCAGCGGAGAACTGACATCTAGTGCCCCTCGAACTGTCCGCTCTTCATTCGGCTCCAAGCCTCGCGATTCAGATGCTCGACATTGTCAAACTGAGACACAGTACCCAATGCGCCCAGAGCCATGACTATGCCGTCCAAATGATGTACGTCCCGAAGCACAACCTTACCACACAGCATGCAGATTACACCCCGAGACGCTACAGCAAAGAACGAAAACTGACTTGCCTGCCTACTGCACCTTCGACCAAGTCACATGCAAGCGGCTGCCTCCGGATACCGGCACTATCTTCAGCACGGTCGCAAACTGTGCAGGGGTAATCAGTGCCTGTACCGCAGCACGGGCCGCAGTGCGCGACGAGATAATCTGATGCAAAGTGATGCCGAGCGTGGCCATGGCTACAGACGCAGGATGCGCGATGGCTACTAGAGCACTGACAAACAGTTGCAGAGAGGCAGCCGACAATAAAAAGATTGCAGAACAGAAGCCTGACTTACCGCGGCTGGCACAGGCGTTACTGCGCCCCGAAACCCCTGCATCCTCTTGAAGATACCTGCAAGCTCGAAGTGTTCGACCCTGAACTCCTAGAGTCGTGTAAGTACTCAAGCTCCTTACAGTACCCATACGGGGTGCCTCCTAGTGCCAGCAACATCGAACGGCTATTGATCCCCAATCATAACATGCATCTAACACGCGACACCCACAAACCCTGACAACCTAATCAGAAAAAACCACCCCCCACTGAAACCTCAACCCAATCTACATCGATCGTGATTAGGGCTTAAGAGACTGGGGTGGATCCTAGGGGCCTACTCCAACCCTAGCCTCTCGTGCCCGGGAACCACACCAGCGCTATTAATCTTGAATCGCAAAATGCATCCAATACGAGACAACCACAATCACTCAACAACATGATCCGAAATCTCACCACTCACTGAAGCCTGAATACAATCCAGGGCAGAGGATTCTAGGGATCGCTTCTTGTATTAAGAGTCAGGGTCTTATATGATTTCTGCGTATGACAGAACGAACGGGATGAAAGCTTAAGAACATGGGATGGATCCTGGGGGCCTACTCCAACTCCGGCGTATCGTCCCCTGGCCCAAAAAAAGCAACCTGGAAACCCCAAGCAAGTGATGATCCCCAATCTTAAAATGCATCCATTAGCCGACACCGACAAACCCGCAACGACCTTATCTGAAATCTCACCCCGCACTGAAGCCTAAACACAATCTGAGGATCGATCGGGATTGAGGCTGAAAAAAATGGGGTCGATCGTCGAGGCTTCTTCCAACCCTAACCTACGGTCCCCTGGCCCCACAACAGCAACCTGCAGACCCGAAACGGCTATTGATCCCCAGTCGTAAAATACATCCAACACGCGAAACCCACAAACCCACAACGACCTAGTCCGCAATCTCACCCCCCTTGAAGCCCAAACCCAAGCTGTACCGATAGGGATTAAAGCTTAAGAGAATGGGGTAGGTCCGAGGGGCCTACTCCGACCCGAGTCTATCGTCCCTTGGACCCACAACAGCGCTATTGATCCAGAATCACAAAATGCATCCCCTACGCGACACCCACAAACCCACAACGACCTCATTCGCAATCTCACCACCCGCTGAAGCCTAAATGCAATTTAGAGTAAACAATTATAGGGATCGCTTCTTATATTCAGGGTCAGGGTCTTATATTGATTATGCGTTAAGCCAGAACGAATGGGACCATGCGTAAGAACATGGGGTGGCTCCGAGGGACCTACTCAAACTCCAGTCTATCGTCCTCTGGCCCAAAAAGAGCAACCTGGAAACTCCAAACAACTACTGATCCCCAATCTTAAAATGCATCTATTAGCTGACACCAACAAAGTCTCAACGACCTTGGACTGGGGTCTGGGGCTAAGGAAGTCTTAACCCGAGATCTGGAAGTGCAATAGATTATAACTTTATTTAGTACAACCCCCATCGCAGCAGTGACGAGGACTCCTCACAAACCAGCAAGCTGAGGGCTGACGGACTCTGATAGTGGGGGTAGGATATATTGCGTGTTTAGAAGTTTCGGAGTTGCGTGTCCAGGGTTTAGTGCGAGTCCTGACCGTGACAGTGAAACTTCTTTTATGCACCGCCACACTTCCGTCTGCTCTTGCTCTCACGCTCGGAACAGGCCCAAGTGCGATGGGTTCAGAGGCTAGGAGGAACGGCAACTTTTGTGGGATGCGGGCTGAAGTGTTAGGATTAGTTTCAGGCTCAGGGTGCGGGATCCTGCGCAAAAAGGCACATGAATTATCCGGCTTGCAGCCGCAACAGGCTTGTCTACAGGGTTGCGGCTATGAGGCTTGGGGATTGGAGCTTAGGATGTGTGGTTCGGGGCTTTATCAGACTCATGCGGGTTCCGGATTGCAGGTGCATGGCTTAGAGTTCTGGGTTTATGCCTGCCGCTGCCTGCCGTGCCTGCCTTGCGCGGCTCAGGACGTCTTCGGCCATCTTCGCGACGTTTTTCCACTGCCGAACTCGCTCAGCCACCTCAGTCTCGCTGTCCGCCCAACAGTCAAAAAGGACCACGCGTTTTTTGCTATAAAGAACTCAGCCTCATCACATAATAAACAAGAAGCCATGAGACGTCTGACAGTGGCTGCGACTGCAAGCCGGATGCTGGCTTCGGCGTGGAGGCTGCTGAGGCCTGAGTCAGATATCAATCAAGCACAACTTCAAATTCTATATATTTAACAGAAGGGACGCGGAAAAGCTTACGTGACATGTACAAACTTTCTAACCAAATGGAGTCTCCATGCCAGTCAGATCCAGCAGCTGCGCCATTCCAGATGACCCAGATGCCGGCTCCAACAGCGGAGGTGAAGCCTGAATCGCATTCATAAAAAAATACTTCAAAGACACGTTCGCTACGCAAAATTCTGCATAAGCATTTGGAAACCATGCAATTGAGCTCCTTGCTAGTCTTCAAACTGAAGACATTTAAGTCGTTAGGCCAAAACCAACTGTGTCAGAAACTATGCCATGGAATAATCCCAGAGGCGGATGACGCATCGTAATTGTCTTCGCCACCATCATATGGCACAGCTCGGACGGCCTCGCATACTATCGTCGCGGTTGGCCGGTTCAGGACTCAGAGCTTAGACTAGTGTCTAAGGTACCCACTTGTACCAAACATCTGCTATTCCAAGAACACAACCTAGACACGGCGGATGCGTCATTGCCCTTGCAGCCGCCAACCGCCTCAGCCTTGGATGCTATGGTGTTCCATCGGATGAAATGTTTCAATTGGAAGCCGTCTCACGATAAGAGTAAAACCTGGACACGTCGAATGTTTCCGGCTCCTGGTGGTCATCCCTTCCGACTTGTCCTTCCTCGGCTGACACTCGGGCTTTTGTTAGGGAATATCTCTTGTCCTCTTGCTTCGGAAATCTTGTGGAAAACTCTTGCAACGATTAGTTTAGACTCTGCCGCCGGCATTGTCGTCGACGGGACTTCGGTTGGAACAACTTCCTCAGCCTCAACCCCAAGGCTCCGGAAGCCAGGAGGGAATTTCGGGCTCGGCTGCAGCATGACCGCCTTTGCCTTTGCTTGGAGCGTAATGGATGCTTAGGTTTTCTGTATCTTAATAGAAAATGAACAAAGGTCCGAGAACATTACACTGAATCCAGTCACAGCCACCAGAGGCTCAGGAGCCTTGGGCTTCACGATACGAAGCCAGGTGTCCCGAGCTCCCTGCACAGGAGGAAGTAAACCCTATGTAACCACGACCAGAGACCACAAACCTTTGATCCCTAAGCTTTAAGGTTTAATTTGAATTCTGAAACAAACTTGCACCGACCTTGGGCTTGGCTCTCGCAGGCTGCCGTCCCGGCTGCATGAAACCAGGTGGAAGAACTCTCGGAGGCACATACTCTGCCTTCTTTGGCTTCGGTACCCACGGAAACCCGGCTTTAGGCAGATGGCCCGCCGGGAACAGCCTGCTGTAGAAGGGAGTGGCCTCAGATGCGGTGTAAGCTTTAGAGTTTATAAACATGAGGAAAAAAGCCTGTGTTTTGATGCTTGCATTAACTTGACCGTTGTCACGATGTACGATGAAGGCTCAGAGTCTACGACGCAAAGCCAATGCATCCCGGAGTCCGGCTCCATGGGCTCTCGCGCGCCCACAGACTGCGCCTTCTTCGGCACCGGTGGTTCTTCTGGATCCGACATGGATCTCTGACAACGCGCAGCTTAGAGCCCAGTAACATTCGGAGGTTGCTTACTGCCTCGTAGCGTTTGTTGCTGTTTGCTGAGTCAGTGGCTGGGTGCGGAATGAACTAGGCTCTGATAATGCAAGTCCCCATTCAACACCAGATCAGACGGACATCAAACCTTGGAGCCAAAGGACCGTGGTTGATACCTGTCGAACGCTACCTAAGCCCCAAACTCTTACACCAAGTGCAACGAGTCTGGCAACCCGTGTCCGTTCAATCCCTGTCTGTGAATCTCAACCATACGTTCTAACCCCTCAACTCTCACTGCATGAGCTTCTAGACTGAAAATGTTCCTGCTTGGGGAGAAGCCGGGATATGTTTGCTAGTTGTCAAGTCGAGCTAAGGACAGGTTGCGAGTGAACGGCGGGGCATGGTTTTGTGTTTTCAAGACTTGGTTATCAAGTAAGGACAGCAACAGGACGGTTTGACGTGGAAATGCGGAGTAGGGTGTGTGATTCCCACTTCGGGCATTAAGGGGTTGGGACAGCCCCGAAGCGTTCGCTATGTCTGCTGAGTGTACAATACGATGTTTTCGTCCCTGGCCTTGCGAGACAGCTTCAAGCCGACGGAAGCCTTTCGCGTCGCAGCCGCAGATCTGTTGAGCAGAGTTCAGGTTAGGTGTGTGTGATGCTCGGACCACATGTAGGTGCTAGAGCACAAGACAGACACCGTGTAATCAGATTATTTTTCTTCTGTAGCAGGACACAGGGACAGTAGGCTGGCTTCCTAACTTTGCTGCTTCAGTCAGTTGAAGCTTAGTAGATCGTAGCACGTGGTCGTGCAAGTCATTGGCATCGGAGACGGGAAGACGATTGGCTTCAGGCTTTTGAAAACCAGGACCAGGACCACAGTCCAGCACACCTGCGCCGTTTGACATGAAGTTGCTCTACCGAAATGGACTACTTAGAGCTAGGTATCTTTCTTCGGGGTGCTGCGTGCGGGTGGCAGCTTGCGGGCCCCTATAAGCACCTCAAGCCTTGTTTCCTTGGGGTGTAGGGTTTGGACTGGACCGGGATCGCAAGGTTAAAGGGAGGCACAGCCTCTGGCTGCACAGCCGCAAAGCCGGACGCCCAACCGAAGCCGAGCGAGCGCAGTTCGACAGGATAGGGTCAGCCCGGACACCCTGCCCGAGTTCGGGTGAGCACAGGAG